CACTTAGCCGAAAAGAAAAGTGATATTTTCTTTTTTATTTTTCTATAAATGTTGTATGTTTTGTTTTTAATGTGTTTAAAATAAAAAAACTTTTTAAAATAAAAAAAACAGAATCGATAACTCTCTTTTCCACCCCCCCCCCCCCCACCACCCCAAAGAAACAAATTAGCTCAGCTTCTTTCAGATTACCTAAACTTTGCTAGAAGTTAAGATCTTTCCACTCCACTCGCAGGACGCTTTGAAAGCAGATCACTTACACATTTTAATCCTTCCTCTCCGCCCCCCAGGTGAAAAAAGATTTAATATCCATCCAATCTGACCCCACTTCTTCTCCAATAACCCATCTCATTTCAAGAGGCGTAGGAGCAAAGCTTGCAATACAGGCTGAGCATTACTGGGAGTATTCAGCTGCCGGGTTTTTAATCTATCCTTCCCCGTAGCAAAGAGATTCTCCATTTAATGACAAATCCAAGTTTCCCCGCGGAAAAGCCTTTTAAACACCCCCCCCCCCACAAACCAGGCGCTTCTTCCCACTCAACCTGCAGCCTGGCTGAGGCTGCTCTGACTGACCCCACGGAAGCTCCCCGCTCCTACCTGTTGCCGAGGCAACGCCAAACCTAAGAGTCGCCGACACCTCAACATCGTGAAAGCGCCGCTGTCTTCGGCTTCCAGAAGTCACGCCGGGCACGACTCTTACAACTCCATTTCCGGTCTGAGCCGGGTAAATGCTTCCGGAGCATGGGAGCAGATCATCGAGTCACTTCCCCGTCCCGGAAGCTACAAGTGCTACGGCGCCCCCAAACACCTGGGAGGAAAGAAGCGCTTCGAAAGAGCTGATCAGAATCAGAATCGGTCTTCTAAATCCAGGGGTCTGCAACCTTGGCGACTTTACGACTTGTGGACTTCAACTCCCAGAATTCCTCAGCCAGCATGCGCTAGCTGAGGAATTCTGGGACTTGAAGTCCACAAGTCGTAAAGTCGCCAAGGTTGCAGACCCCCTGTATCTAGTTCAGCCCCCTGGTCAAGCAGGACAAAACTATACCATTTCAGACAAGTGGCTGTCCAGTCTCTTCTTAAAACACCCACCCCCGGTGGTCATCCTCGATTTACGACCACAATTGAGCCCAAAATTTCTACTGCCAAGCAAGACAGTTAAGTGAGTCTTGTCCCACCCCATGACCCTTCCTGCCCCAGCCCCCAAGTGAATCCCTGCAGTTGCCAAGCTAGCAACACAGTTATTAAAGGAATCTGACTTCCGCATTGTTCCCGCCTGTCAGGAGGTCGCCAAAGGGAGATTGCATGACCCCGGGATGTTACAACGGTCACAAATAAATGCCAGTTGCCAAATATTTGAATTTTGATCAGGTGACCGTGGCGCAACGGTCACAAGTGTGAAAAATGGTCATAAGTCACCTTTGCTGTAACTGACATATGTCACTAAGTCAGAGATGTCACTAAATGAATGGTTGAGGACTGTATCTGTACTGAACTAAAACATGATTTCTGAAAATGTGGTTGATCATTTCTGCTATCCCCAACAGCAGGTTGCATGGAAGAAAAGACCGTTTGTGATCTTGGGTGTGCTTCTAAAATAGAGAGCGTGGGGCTGGTTTTCTTGTTTTAATCCCGAAATCTGTTTTGAGTATCCAGGGAATCCTGTCTGACAGATTCATCGATCGAGTTGAGGAAGCTTCCTTACACACCACCTGTACTAGAGGTCCTTTCGGAATAGAGCCATAAATAGACTTGAAATCTTGCAATGCTGGAAGCTGTAACTACTCGATGTTACTTATGCTCTAGTAATTTTGGCTCGCCTAGAAACAAGTTGAGCAGGGGCAGGCCTGATAGGACCCTGATTGGGATACCTCCAAATAATCTCAGGGTTAAAGCCCAGTTTGGAAAATCCCATATTTAAGATAGGTGGCAAGTATAGGTAGTCCTCAATTTACGACCACAATTGAACCCAGAATTTATGTTAAGTGAGAAATTTGTTAAGTGAGTTTTTCCCATTTTATGACTTTCCTTGCCACATTTTTAAGTGAACCCTGAAGCTGTTAAATTAGTAACACGGTTGTTAAGTGAATCTGGTTTCCTCATTGACTTTGCTTGTCAGAAGGTCACAAAAGGCAATCACATGACTCTGGGACACTGCAACTGTCATAAATGTGAATCAGTTGTCAAGCATCCCAATCAGTGGTGGGTTTCTCCCAGTTCCACCCGGTTCCGCTGAGCCAGTAGCGGTGACAATATGACATCACCAAACCGGTTCTGCCCCCCCCAACCTGGCCCCCTGCGTTATTCTTACCTTTTATTTGGCCCCACCCCCAATCTATTGCTGCTTCCTGAGTCCCAGCTGATCGGTTAGAAGGAAAAAAACTGTTTAAACTCTTGCCTGAGGGCTTCAAAGGGCCACCCTACAGCTGATCAGTGTTAAAAGGCAGTGTGGTGGTAGACCGGTGCCTGCAAAAATAAATGGGTAGACAAGTGCCTCCAAAAACAAATGAGTAGACCGGTACAGCTCTGCAAGTAGTTAAAAGCCTGGTAGACCAGTACTTCTGCTAAATCCTAAAGAATTGTCACATGACCACCAAGCCACGCCCACAAAATAAGCCACATCCACAGAACCAGTAGTAAAATAATTTATAACCCACCCGATCCCAATGTAAATCATGTGACCATGGGGATGCTACAACGGTCGTAAGTGTGAAAAATGGTCATAAGTCACTTTTTTCAGTGATGTTGTAACATCAAGCTGTCATTAAATGAACTGTTGTAAGTCAAGGACTACCTGTATATATAAAAACAACTGAGTCTTGGAAAAAAAGTGCTGGGAAATGGTAAGAAAAACTGATAAGAAACTGGTAGGAAAACTACTAAACCAGATCCACTCTCACAGAAGCTGAATTCGACTTGAGTCAGTCCTTACTTATATATCTAATCACTACAAAAAATCCAAAGATCCTGTTTTATCTAACCAACAACCATATATATATATATATAATGAAAGTTCAAAGAGAGTGATTAGCCCACATTAGTCATCCAGGTGCAAATAACCATACACCGCAAGTGAGTCAGACACATTGTAAATTCAGAAAATAGGATTAACTCCGCAATCGTGCTTGATGATGAATTGAAAGGTCATATTAAATTTTAATGAAATTTTCCAAAGACTTCCCATCAATGACTCCACTGCCAAATTAATCATGAGAACATATTGTATTGAACTAAGAATTCTAATTTTATTCCAAGTTAGATTTTTCTTCTTTACAATGACAAAGACACAATGTGCTTTAGAGCCACATAGATGTAGATGATGTTGTATCTGTTCGAAATGAAGAAAGGGTTATATTTTGATTTTGTCCGTATTTTAATTCTTTTTTAACTCAGAACAGTGTAGCTAGGCAACATGAGCCAAATATTTTTTTCAGGCAGAGAATCATCAGCCACACCAGTCTATGTTTGGAACTTCTAAACTGAGAAAGTGGAATGCTACCAGCACACACATAACTGATAGAGCTTTTGAGCATCTTTCATATTTAACTGCTGCCAAAGATCCAGAAGTGTATCTAAAACTTTTGCCAACAGTTTACTCCCTGCTGTACATTAGAATATTTCTCAAGTCAGACAATTTTAATCCTCCCCACCAATGACCATGCGAATATCTGGCAAGCATTCCTAATAGCAGTATCATACTATTCAGCTAATTGCTTTAAAGAAACTAGTTAACATACACTTCTAAAATGAATTGGTACTTTTCTGAGATACAAAACCACAAAAATGAAACAAATGTAGAATATCTGTTTTACAAAAATGCCTAAGTCTTACTGAGTCCCATAGTAACAGCGGGGAAGTATGAACTAAGTGGTAATCTCACTTTGTACGTCTCTTGCAATTTTTGGCTTGACCCGCCCAGGATATAAAGTAGTCCTCGATTTACCACAATTGAGCCCAAAATTTCTGTTGCTAAGTGAAACATTTTTAAGTGATTTTTGCTCCATTTTACTACCTTTTTTGCCACAGTTGTTAAGTGAATCAGTGTAGTTGGTAAGTTAGTAACCCGGTTGTTAACTGAATCTGGCTTCCCCACTGACTTTGAAGATCGCAGATGGCGATCATATGACCTCAGGACCCTGCAAGCATAATAAATATGAGCCAATTGCCAAGCATCTGAATTTTGATCATGTGATCATGGGGATGCTGCAACAGTTGTAAGTCTGAAAAACAGTCATAAATCATTTTTTTCAGTGCTGTTGTAACTTCGAATCATCACTAAACAAACTGGCTTTAAGGACTATCTGTACTTAATCTTAAAGCCTGAAAGTGAATAAACCTGTGATGCAATATTTAGTATTCCACAACCATAGAAAAGACTTAACGTTTTCAGTAACAGCTATTAAATCTGAAAAGCTAAAGAACCTTAAATAATTTATTAATATGTTTACACTATTTTGTTCTTTTATATTTTGTACTCTGGCCAGAGATTTTTGAGAATAGAAAGTATTAACAAACTCATAACTACTAGTTAGGGAAAGAAAGTGGGATATAGACCAGTGGGTTCCTGCCATCGCATGCCAGGAGAGGAGGGGGGAAGGGGGTCACACGCACGCATGCCCACACCCATAATTGTGTGCCCCGCGCATGGGCGTGTAGCCCCCCCTGCCCCCCCAGCTCCTTGTACATGATGGCACGGTGGTCCCGGTAGGCCCATTTTTCTCTCTCCCGAGGCTCCAGAGCCTTTCTAGGAGCTTGGGGAGGTGAAAACGGTCTTCTCCATCCCCCCGGAGGCCCTCCAGAAGCCAGAAACAGCCCGTTTGCCAACTTCTGGTGGGCCGAGAAAGCCCAAAAATTAGGTGGCTGGTGCGCACATGCGCGCTGGAGCTAAGCTCACATGTCCACTGATATGGCTACGCGTGCCACCTGTGCCACAGGTTCACCATCACGGCTATAAATTATAATTTCAGCACTGCATTATACTATTTCTTCTGCAAAACACGCACACATTTTGTTGAATAGCTCTTTATTATCAAAAAAGTGCCAAGTGTTAATGAAGAACTCTCTTATGAAATCTGAAAGATTGATTTAAGTTTAAATTGTCAATCTAATATAGCATAGTGTTTATTCAGTATGAAGAATGGCATACATATACATATCTAAGTTACATACCTTGAAAGAGAAGAGGTACATATATTTTACTTTACTTTATATTTAATAAGATATCACAATATTAGAACTTTTAACACAGAAGCTCAAATATCAAAACTATAATGTTTCTCAGTTATCCCTACAGAGCAGCAATATCTAAAGTGACAAGCCAAGCCTTGATAATCAATGAATCCAAATATTCATGTTTTAATATGACTTTGCATTAAAAGATGCTTTATCAATTTGAATTGCTTATATCGTCATGTTGACAAACTACATTCAGTAAATCTGTATTTTTGTATTTTTCCTACTGCAACAACTTGCATCTCTAGCTTACCCTTCAGCATCATGAAAATGAACTAATTAATCAGTAAATGAACAAAATAATTAAGAACAAGAGGAAAATATCTTCAAGAGAAAGGACAGTGCACTAAAAGCAGTCTTAAAATGGATTGATAATTCAGAAATTCTCCATCACCTGATGTCAGCTTTTTGCTCCAGTATGGAATATGAAAACTGAAATGAGCTTCAGTTACCACTTTCTCTGCTGAATTCCTGTTTGCCCTATGAAAGTTACATTGCTATTAATCTGACCCAAACTTAAAAAAATAATTTTTCTAATTATAAATCATTGTTTGTAAAAATTAGTACTTTTTTATATCAAAATAATAATTAGAATGTGGAATTAAATAATTTAGAAAATAACTTTCAATGAAAGCAGAATAAATTTGTTTTTGTTTTGTTTTTTTACAAATCTGAAGAAACCAAAATGGATTGGGTTAAATATTTTATGCAAAGATGGCAGAATCCCCCTTAGTGAAACGCTTTAGTTGAGATTCATGTTTTTTTTGTTTGTTTGTTTTTGTCTATCCAAAATGTAACTAAGGTACTGATTCTGTTCATGTAATATATTGGGAAAACAAATTCTGGGTAGAATTCAATGATAATAAGAAAATTGACATTATGTTCATTACGTAATGGCTAATGACTTTGCAGTTCAACTGTAATCTGGGCTTTGAAAGACTGGCCTTTTGCCAAAAGCATACCAGTATTGCTTCTTGAGTTATAAACAAAGCATTTATTTAAAGTCCTTGAAACCTGGTACTATCTTTGTAATGTTAACTTTGTCCCCATATTCATTAGAGCAGTTGGTGTTAATGAAAATAGCTGTAACATTCCACATTTTCTTTTAAAATGTCATAAAGTACTTTTCAGTCTGAAGTGTTTTTCATTTACTGTTCAGAGCCAAGTGTTACCAAGGAGCTGAAACTGACAGAAACATTCAGTAGTCAAAAGAAAAAAAAAAGAATCACTAATGCTAGGAACAGAGAGCTTGGTCTTATTTGTTGATCCAGAATTATTGTGTCCTCTCCCAAGACATCCATATTAACATGAAAAGCAACACAATTATTTTTTGCTGGGTTTGAGAGGAACATGTGATCCCTTGACACTGAGTTTTTCAAGAGAAGATACGGGTCTCCTCGGTCCTTCTATTGCTGTTCTTGGGTGCATCTTATCCCTGAAAAAACCAAAGATAACAAAAAGGGAATACTTGATGTTTATTTTATACATGGTAACATCAGCTAAGCACAGAAAAAGCCTTTAACTATGCATTAAGAAACAACTGTTGTATCTAGATACTGTTTTTCAGATGGTTGGCAAAACTAAAGTACAACGTCCCAACTCAATTTGTGTCACCTGTAATCCAATGAAGATGGAGTCATTCAGATCTGGGGAAAACAAACATGCAGGGGACCAGGACTGCATCAATAAAGGAGTGGAGAACTTGTGGTACATGAAATGCTGCTAATATCTTAGCAATTAAATTGTAAGGGATAGCCACGGCTGTAATTTATCAAGGTTTGTAGGACATGTTCCTTATCCCCACCTTGGGCAATACTGTTTTCGCACAGATTTTCTGTTTTGACATTTTTCTTTTGTAGGTTTTAACTGAACTAGCCAGCAGACAATTAGTGCCAATATTTTTATATTAGAGTGCTTAATGTACACAGTAGTTGAATGCATTCCTGAAAAATAAGCATCTCAATTGCCTAACAGAATCCTTATGCACATATGACATCTTAAAGAATTCTGACTCTCTCTCTTAAAATAGCGTAAGGCAAAACAAGAAAGATTACAAGGTATACCTCCTTGGAGCATCCTCCTTGCTTACATGATGAATACTTCTATGTTTTGGGGACTCTATATTGTGTCTTCCTCCAGAGGGCTTAAACTTCAGAATCTCCTTTTGCCATTGTTCATCAAAAGCATGAGCTTCTCCTGGTAAACAATTGCAATTTTAAATTATAAATTTCTTCATTCAAAAGTATGTATATATCTCAATATTTTGTACTAATAAGGTACACATATCGTATTTTTCGGAGTATAAGATGCACCTTTTTCCCACCTAAAAGGGGGTGAAAATTTAGGTGCGTCTTATACACCGAATGTAGCCCCACCCACACACTGGCCCCCACCCTTTGGCCTCTGCCTCCCAGCAATTTAGCTCCTTGCAGCAAGCAGCAAGAAAAAACAGCTCCTTTCAGCTTCAGCACAACATAATTAGCACAAGTTGATTGGATCGGCCTCCCGACTCTCATCTGATTTGCTCTCAGCTGTTTTGTGCAGGGCTCTGCTGCTTGCTGCAAAGAGGTAAATTGCTGGAGCAGATTTTTTTCCCCTTGTGCTAATCAAGCTAAGCTGAAAACGAAAATGAAAGTAAAGCAGGCTGTTTGCTGTAAAGAGGCAAAATTGCTCAGAGGCAAAGGCAGAGACAGAGGGAGATTTCTTTTTCTTCTTTTCCTCACCAAAAAAAGGTAGGTGTGTCTTATATTCCGAAAAACATGGTAATTATCTACAAGATGCACAATGCGCCATTTTTATATGCAGGTACTTGCTTGTGGCACCATCCAAACAGCACTGACAGGTGATCATATGAGAGAGAGGGGAGGGACGAGGAGAAAATAATAGTCCAGCAGCATGGCTAATTACCTTCATCTAAATTAATGAATTCTTGATTCAATTCTTCTTCGCCAGTTTTGTTGTTCTTTGCCTTCTGAACTACATGAGCACGATCATGAATGTGATGACCCACGGCCATTTTTTCCAACCCGCTTTCGGAATCTCTACAAGCTTTTCTGATTTCTTTAATCTGAATTAAAGCAAAACAAGCAAGTAAAAAATGTAATAAGAAGAAAACGTCCTAATTAGCTTTCTGGATTTCTCCTTTCAAGTAAACTTTCTACAAATCATGAAGCCTAAATTAATCATAAATTAATTTATGAAGCCTAAATTAGTCACCAAATAAACATGCCAAGTGCAGAAGGCTACACTATGAGCACATATACAAAATTTCACTCACTATGCTGCGGAAGTTATATTTGAGGGCGGAGGTGGAAGAGAGCAGCTGCAGCAGCAAAAACCACACGTAAAACAGTTCAGTTGCATGCACAATCATGTCTCTGAATTATGGCCTTAGCATGCATGTTGATTCACATACAGTATAGAGAAACTATGCACAAATTCCAGTATTTTAAGGTTTCAACATTGTTTCATTAGAATGGTTCAAAAACTATCATAACGTCATCTAAATATAGCCAGTGAATGGAACTTTTCAGCTACAGAGATAAAGAGTGTTCTGCTATTTGCTACATGAAAGGAACACTAACTATCTCGACAATCTTGGCTACTACTTATCAGCATGCCCGTAAGTATATTATTAGAAGCTTTTTGATAAAGAGGTACTGGCTGAGCTCTGAAGAGATTTACTGTGGGCTATTTTCAACAGTTTTATCTTGCTTGCATGCTGTATTTCATGAACTTGATGTTAAGGTTCAAATTCAAACGTCTTAGCCAAATTAGATGGCAACACCTATGAGCAAAGCAATGAAGGGTTTTTTTAAACATGATACCATCACTTCAAAGTCAAGTTTTCACTTCAAACTTTTATACTAATTTTCCAATGTTTTGTCCTATTGCATAATAATACATTTATGCCTACTGAGTTAGAAGCACATACCAAATTAGAGTAATACTATTATTAGTTAAGAGAGGATTCCCAAAATATTATCGTACCCCTCCTGGAGCAGTCCGTGTCTGAGCTGAAGCTTGGAAAACTTTGGGCGGTTCGTCACCCTTCTTAGAATAGGTCATCACTGAGGAAGAACTGTATGAGTGAGCATTTGGATCAACTGCCATTTTATCCTGAAAAAAATAATTTAAAAACAAGTAAAAACTACAATTAGAGTACAGAATGGAAGCCAACATTTAATGGATATTTGCGATCCTCTATCTATAGATTACACTGGGGTGGGGGTGGGGGGAGAGAAATCCTGTAAGAATACTATGGCAACCCACATCGACAGAACTGACTTAATATTCCAGGCCTGCAAAATGTTCTGAAGCATTATGCAAATTTACCCATTCACTTGGCAAACAAATTTAATTTAATAGAAGAGCTGATTTTGGAACTGTCAGACGCTGGAAATGAATAAAAGTCTACTCCAGTGCAGTTTGAAAGAAAGTTTTTCAGAATTAATTTCTTTCTGTCTGGCAAACAGTCAAAAGCTAATGCAAATATGCATGGCGGGGTAGGCATTTCTATCCATTTTTTAATGTGTCAATTAGATATATCTAAGGCCAGCATGGGGGGGAGGGGGGAGGGAATGAAACTGAAGAGAGTACCACATTACATTGTGAAAATGATTCTAACAGGAAATATAGATAAGCTCTACAGTTCCTTCATTACAGAAGACACAACTTAGACTGAAATTAAAAACTATCAATTGATAATAATGCACTGCTAACCTCTTTCTCTAAGGAAGTGTTTTCAGACTGGTGGAGGCAGCAGTAGGGGTGCGGGAGGGGATGGTTGTGTGTGCAGGTGCGCTCTCACCACTTCTAAGGCCTGGTTCAGAACGGGCTAAGACCCCGCACCAGGCCGCGGACCGGGGGTTGGGGACCCCTGCTCTAAGGAAATCTATTTTTTCCTATTATTTTAATGAATAACATTCATGACAAAATTAACATAAAAACTTAACAACTTACAAAATTTCTTTGCAAGTCCACCATACCATTTCTCATGTTTGACATCATTCTGTCCATTGCAAAGAATGGATTTCTGAAATTCATGTTCTGCTTCAACAGAGAGGAAGAAATAGAAACAATAAAATGCTTCAAAACTCAGAAATTTTATCACAATTCATTCATGTACAGGTGGAGAGCAGCTTACTTTTGCAGACATCAGAAGACAGGGAGCAGGATGAAGATATAGCAATTATGAGGAACAGCGGTAAAAAGAAAATAGAAAATAAGAGCGATGCTTGGTCTTTTATGAAACACTCCTCTTTTGCTATTATACTGTTCTCAATTCAAACTGTAGTCACACAAGACGAACTGCCGGAAATTTCTCTAAGCTAATACAAAGTAGTGTGTAAGAATAGACTGCTAGAATATGTTAAGCCACATCTTCTAAAGTGTCACTTCCAAGTTTTGTCAGTAGGTGAAATTCCAAACTATGGGACAGCCAACATCTAGTTTGGCTCTTAGTCAAATATGTTCCTAGAGAAGATTGTTGGATCAGGCATACATATGCATGTCTATAGAAGTATCAGAAAGGCTTTCCGTATTAACTTTAAGTAAAATTGAATCAAAATACGATTTCATAGATTTTAAACTCATTTCCCAACCATTAAGTTTTCAATGAAGTAACTAGTTATCACAACAATAACTATTTCACAAACGTATGAAAAAAAAGTTTATACCATTAGATGAATTGAAATATTACTGTAATCTGATTTACCAAAAGGAAAATTTAGAATGCGCTGGCAAAGCCTTGTTTCTGTCTTATCACTCCTGGTTATGCTTGTTACTATCAAGCTAAAGTACACAAAATGTCAGTGGTGGGATTCAAGTAATTTAACAACCAGTTCTCCGGCCCTAATGATTTCTTCCAACAACCAGTTTGCCAAATTGCTCAGAAAGTTAACAACCGGTTCTCCCGAAGTGGTGTGAACTGGCTGAATCCCACCACTGGCTATAGTTAGCCATGTGCGGAAAAAATGTTTCTTTTTGTGTGGATTACTTGAATGGCTACCTACGCCTGGGTCAATTTAAGAGCTGATTAATCACTCCATAAACCAGATTCTCTTCTGTGATTTGAAATATGCAATTTAGGAATACAATTATACATGAAAGAAGGTACAGACTAATGACAGAGCACAACACTTGTATGACACACTGTTGACTCGGTGCCATTGTCTAAAATGGGAATGCAGTAACCATGACTTCTGTTTACACTGCTATCACATGTTACTAACAGTCCAGCCAAAGTATTAACACCTTTACAGACCACAGGGAAGGCTACAGAAGCAGGCAAAATGTTACAGGAATCCCAGTAAACTCACTGAGAATATTAGCACGTAAATGTATGGCTCACATACAAAATGAAACACGCAAGAAAGCAAGAATGGAGAAAACTGAATGAAACCAAAGAACATCCAACTCATTGAAATATCTGGCATGTGCGCTCTTAATCTTTCTCTCTTTCTCTCACTCTCTTTCTATATTTTCCCCAGTGCTAGAGTTTCATAGAATTTGGACGTTCTCAAAATTGGATGAGAGGAAGGAACAAAAGGCAACAAAGGGGTTGAAATTTTAAAAACCAGGACTATGGCACAGCATTTGTGCCATTTAAAAATTTGTTTTGATTAGAACAAAAATGGTGTCTCCCATTCCTAATACAGGTATACCAATAGCTCGGTTGGCTGAATTATTCCAGGACCCCGGAAGAAATGTTAACAGTCCGTTTTCTCTGACAGTAAAAATATAAAAATCATAAATAGTAATTTTGATTTATAACCGACTTCCCAACATTTATTAAGTAATAAAGTCTCTAGCTTTTAAATTATCATCTGCAATTATGAAAGTTAAGCAATATTTAGGAATCCATTGATGGAATTTTATCTAATGAGGTCTCTCTGAATGGTTTTGCTAACACAACACATTGTCCCTTCTCCTAAACCTGCTCTGAAATTTGAGAACCTTTAGTATAGTTAGAGGGAAAATCAAATTAATGAACAAAGCATTCATTCTTTCATAATGTTGGTTGTGGCTAAATGCTATATTTCTTGTATTCCCAATTAGCAAGCCCCATAGGATACTACATAAAGATCATATAATCATTTCTATACGATTGGTATGCCAAAGAAAAAAAAACTGATAGAAACTGAAGCAAAATGTTTTCATTGGAAAAAGAATTTAAGAATTAACGATGGAAGCAAAAGGCCTGCAGAGATATTCAATCAATATCTTGGCCATATTTAGTTAGATTTCCCCCAATCTCCATTAAAGAGTATAGGCCAATATACACTGCATACAGTAGATTATGGAAGACGACATTAATATTTTGATATTCTGCAATGGAGGAAAAAACAGGCTAATGTGCTGCGTTTTTAGAAAGTATTTTCTGGCACGTACAGTAATGTTCGTGCCAGAAATGTTCACAGAAATTAGAGTATTGTAATAGAAATACATGGTGGCTCAGTGGCTAAGACGCTGAGCTTGTCGATCAAAAGGTCAGCAGTTCGAATCCCTAGTGAAGCGTAACAGGGTGAACTCCCGTTACTTGTCCCAGCTTCTGCCAACCTGGCAGTTTGAAAGCACGTAAAAAATGCAAGTAGAAAAATAGGGGCAATCTTTGAGGGGAAGGTAACAGCATTCTGTGCGCCTTTGGCCTTTAGTCATGCCGGCCACATGACCATGGAGATGTCTTCGGACAGGGCTGGCTCTTTGGCTTTGAAACGGAGATGAGCACTGCCCCCTAGAGTTGGGAACAACTAGCACGTATGTCTGAGGGGGAACCTTTACCTTTAATAGGAAATGCAGGAGAACTTTGCAGATTTTTCACTGCTTTTTTTCAAACAATATAAGTCCTCTTTTATTGAACTCCATGCTAAAAGCCGTTGAGCAGGTCCAAAAGAAAGAGGCACAAAGATCTTTCCCATCAATTAATATATTTCAAACATCATCATGGTACAGCATCATTCACATATTCCTTATAATGGTCTTGGACAGAAAAAGTTGGGCTTACTTTGATTCAAAAAGGACAAATAAAAGCATATTTTCCCTGCAGCAAATATGCTTGCTTGAATTATTCTATGACAAAAGAGCCAAAATATGGTCAAAGAGCCCATGACCTCAGTATATAACTGACCCCAGCTTTAATTGCTACCTGCTCGGTATATATTGTTTTGTTTTTCATTTGTTGAAATGATTTAGGAAGATATGGCTGAATGACACAAATACAGTCAGGTCCAGAAATATTGGGACATCAACACAATTCTAACATCTTTGGCTCTATACCCCACCACAATGGAGTTGGAATGAAACAAACACAATGTGCGTTAACTGCAGACTGTCAGCTTTAATTTGAGGGTATGTACATCCAACTCAGGTGAACGGTGTAGGACTTACAGCAGTTTGTATATGTGCCTCCCACTTGTTAAGGGACCAAAAGTAATGGGACAATTGGCTTCTCAGCTGTTCCATGGCCAGGTGTGTGATATTCCCTCATTACCCCAATTACAATGTGCAGATAAAAGGCCCAGAGTTCATTTCAAGTGTGCTATTTGCATTTGGAATCTGTTGCTGTCAACTCTCAAGATGAGATCCAAAGAGCTGTCACTATCAGTGAAGCAAGCCATCATTAGGCTGAAGAAACAAAACAAACCCATCAGAGAGATAGCAAGAACATTAGGCGTGGCCAAAACAACTGTTTGAAACATTCTCAAAAAGAAGGAATGTACCGGTGAGCTCAGCAACACCAAAAGACCTGGGAGACCACGGAAAACAAGTGTGGTGGATGACCGAAGAATTCTTTCCCTGGTGAAGAAAACACCCTTCACAACAGTTGGCCAGACCAAGAACACTTTCCAGGAGTTAGGTGTATGTGTGTCAAAGTCAACAATCAAGAGAAGACTTCACCAGAGTGAATACAGAGGGTTCACCACAAGATGTAAACCATTGGTGAGCCTCAAAAACAGGAAGGCCAGATTAGAGTTTGCCAAACAACATCTAACAAAGCCTTCACAGTTCTGGAACAAGATCCTATGCACAGATGAGACCAAGATCAACTTGTACCAGAGTGATGGGAAGAGAAGAGTATGGAGAAGGAAAGGAATTGCTCATGATCCTAAGCATACCACCTCATCAGTGAAGCATGGTGGTGGTAGTGTCATGGTGTGGGCATGTATGGCTGCCAATGGAACTGGTTCTCTTGTATTTATTGATGATGTGACTGCTGACAAAAGCAGCAGGATGAATTCTGAAGTGTTTCGGGCAATATTATCTGCTCACATTCAGCCAAATGCTGCAGAACTCATTGGACGGCGCTTCACAGTGCAGATGGACAATGACCCAAAGCATACTGCAAAAGCAACCAAAGAGTTTTTGAAGGGACAGAAGTGGAATGTTATGCAATGGCCAAGTCAATCACCTGACCTGAATCCCATTGAGCATGCATTTCACTTGCTGAAGACAAAACTGAAGGGAAAATGCCCCAAGAACAAGCAGGAACTGAAGACAGTTGCAGTAGAGGCCTGGCAGAGCATCACCAGGGATGAAACCCAGCATCTGGTGATGTCTATGCGTTCCAGACTTCAGGCTGTGATTGACTGCAAAGGATTTGCAACCAAGTATTAAGAAGGGAAAGTTTGATTTATGATTATTATTCTGTCCCATTACTTTTGGTCCCTTAACAAGTGGGAGGCACATATGCAAACTGCTGTAAGTCCTACACCGTTCACCTGAGTTGGATGTACATACCCTCAAATTAAAGCTGACAGTCTGCAGTTAATGCACATTGTGTTTGTTTCATTCCAACTCCATTGTGGTGGTGTATAGAGCCAAAGATGTTAGAATTGTGTTGATGTCGCAATATTTCTGGACCTGACTGTAACTATATAATGAATATTAATAATATATATAGTCTCACTATATAATATAGATTAATACAAAGAAAGTCATTGGAAGTTGAGTTTTTATTCCTGTCCTAGCTTTATTATATATAAAAGGAAAATAAAAGATAATAAAAGAGATGCCTTTGGAAATTGTAGCATCATTTTAATCTCCACATACACTAAATGGGTATTTTAACAATGATTTCCCCAAAATTAAAAAAAAACACAAAACAGATTCACAAAATGAAACAAGCATACTAAAATGCACTTATAAAGCAAAATGCAAGATGCTTAGTTTTAGAACAAGTGAAACAGACATGTCCACATCACCCCCCAAAAAATTGAATTATGCGTGTGTAATATACTAACCATGCCACCAAAACAGCCAAAAGGCATAAGCGGAAAACTCATGGCCTAAAAGAAAAATTGTAGATCGTATAAATTGCAGCATTAATATTATGGCCTTAAAATCTGACTGAATGAGAGTGCATCTGGACTCAACTTTCTTGAAATCTGCTATTAAAAGAATCCTGCACATTTTCTATCATCAAGTTTACTTATTATTACCTTCCACATTTTCACCACATTAAAAAAAAAAAAGCAAAAGTTTTGTATTATTAAGCTAGCTAAGAATCTTGCAGTCCCCATTTCTATCATCTTACATCTTTTTTTTACTGAAATCTTAACTTTCCTATTCACCTTTTCTTTTTTAAAAAAATCACCTTTTCACTTCAAACATTCATAAATTTCCACCCACAGATATATTTTAGCATAAACTAAATTTAAACTATGGTTACTATTTCATAATCCCAATGCACTCCAAAAGTTTTCTTAAAATCCCTTGGGAAAAATACTTGAGAAGAATACTACAACTGGAACGGTATAATAATAATAATAATAATAATAATAATAATAATAATAATAATAATAATAATAATAAAAATAATCCTTAAATTTCTTATTTTTTCTTACTTATATATTTTCTTCTTTGCTGAATGTATCCCTTTTTTTAAAAAAAATCTATATATATTATTATTATTAACTTTTATTCACCAAACATGAAACTCGATTATTATTATTCTTCACATGTTTAATGAATAAAATAATAATAATAATAATAATAATAATAATAATAATAATAATAATAATAATAATAGAGTTTCATGTTTGGTGAATAAAAGTTAATAATAATAATATATATAGAATATTTTTTTAAAAAGGATTCATTTAGCAAATAGAAGAAAATATATAAGTAAGAAAAAATAAGATAAATGTAAGGTTTATTTCTGGACAAAAAGAAAAAAAATGAAAAGTAACAAGAATGCTAATGCTCAATGCCCATACCACCAAATCTTAGTAATCTTTGTCATTAGTATACTGACCATGCCACCAAAAGTGCCAAAAGGTATAAATGGAAAACTTGGACCCTGAAAGACAAGCACCAGTTCATTCAAAATTGTTGCACTAGTATGGTTTAGAAATAGTTATGGTTTAAAAAATTCAAGTGGAAAATAGGCATGCTCAGATTAAATTTGTGTTGTATTTGTATACTAACCATGCCACCAAAACTGTTAAAGGGCATAAGGGAACAGCTCATCGCCTGTAAGAAAAACATCAACTTAGGTAAATTGCTGCAATATTATTGTTGGAGAAGGATACACATTTCATAGGTTAAAATCAAGAAATTCTCCAAATCAATCTTAAATAATGAAAAACCTGAGGGCAAATAGATCATCCATACAGCCTCTTTAAATAAAAGAGGCAATAGGGAACAGTTTTAACAACTGGGAGAGGAAAATCATGAATCTATTATCATTTCATGGCATATGGTCACATGGTAGCTTTATAGAACCCTGGATGAGGATGATTATTTGGTCCTTTTCATTGATCGCGCTCATGGATGACCTCTGGCGGGAGCGGGATAGAGGCAGTGCATCCATCCTGGTTTTTCTTGACCTCTCAGTAACATTCAATATCATTGATCATGGAATCCTTTTGGGCCAGCTTAGGGAATTGAGGGTGGGTTATTTCTTTGCTGGCTCTCCTTTCTCCAGGGCCGGTTCCAGTCGGTGCTGATAGAGGAAAAGACATCTAGCCTGTGCCCCCTATTTTGTGGGTTGCTTTAGTGCTCATTCTTCTCTTCTATTCAACATTTATATGAGGCTACTAGGTGAGATGATCCATCGGTTTGGGTGAGATATCATCAGTATGTAGATGACATCCAGCTTTATATCTCTATCCCAAGCCTCTTGAGTGATGCCGGGGACATACTATACCAGGGTCTGGAGGCTCTTGGGGACTGGATGGGATAATCCTAGCAAGACGGAGTGGCTGTGAGTATTTGGACACATCAACCCCCTCCCCCCACAAGGTTCTTCCATCTGTGGTTCTGGATGGGTTGAGCTATCACAGACAAACCCAGTGTGCAATTTATATGTCCTCCTGGACTTGTGGCTCCTGCTTGAAAAACAGGTGGAGAAGTGGCTAAGAGGGCTTTTGCACACTTTCTATGCGTCAGTTGCACCCATACCTGGATTGGGAAACTCTGCTCACAGTAACTCACGCCTTGTAACCTCCAAGTTAGACTACAGTAACACGCTTTACATGGGCTGCCCTTGAAGACCGTTTGGAAACTTCAACTGGTGCAGAATGCAACTGTGCAGATGGTGCCAGATACACGGCACACATAACACAATTGCTATGTGATTTGCATTGATTACTGATGAGTTTCTGGATGCAATTCAAGATGCTGGAAACCCTATAAGGCTTGTGTCCAGGGTACCTGATGGAATCACATTTTTTTCAAGAGTCTCTACCCATCCAACCAGGTTGAGTAGAATGGATATGCTGCATATCCTATCAGCCAAAGAATGTCGGCTGGTGGCGATAGAAGATGAGCTTTTTCTGCAGTAGCCCAAGCTCTATGGAACATTCTGCCTTTGAAGATCAGAATGGCCTCAACCCTGTTAGCCTTTTGCAAGGCCCTAAAAACCTGGCTATGTTCCCAGCCCTGGGCACTGAAATGTGTCAAGGGTACCTGATGGAATCACCCCGTTTACTGGCTATACTGCTAACTGGCCAAGTATCTTGCTCCTATGTGTATTTAATTTGGATGTTTTTAGTGTTTTTATTGGTTTTATTGTTTATTGTTTTAAAATATTTTTTAATATTTTTAACAGTAACATATATGTTTTGAATTGTAAGCCACCTAGAGACATTGACTAAGATGGGTGGCCATAGAAATTGAACGAACAAACAAACAAATAAATAAATAAGTTTCCAGCCTTCTTTTAATCCAGGAGCCAAGTTTCATTTTTGTTTTCATCTGAATTCAGACACCTGGGACAGAACAACTCCTGAGGCATTCATGAAGGCAATCTGTTACGTGCCAGGTGCGAAGGAAGGGAAAGGAAGCCTCAATGTGCTTCTTTTCAAACTATAGTTACAACTTGCACTACACTTTCACCTGGTATGAACAAACATTGCAGCTTCTGTCACATCTAATTTGAAACTGAAATAAGACATGCTTAATAACTGATTGTACTTTAAGCATCTAAATCTATCTTTAAAAAAACTTTTAACTACCTTTGAAGTATCAACTTAAGCATTTTACACATGACTCATGTTTCCAAATATTCAATCCCATGTAGATTCAGTGGAGATTAGCCAGTTCCAAAAGAAACTTTGAATACATCAACATACTTGCTCCTCTTCAAGACATACATTTTAATTAATAAATTATAGCGAGCTGAGAAAAATTGCAGATCACAACAATTATTTAAAGGAAATAGTCTGCAGGCAAGCAAATTATGTTGTAAGATCAAAGATAATGTAAAATACAAAAATAGCCATGAAATCCTAACAATGTCAGCAGATTCAAAGGTCACTAAAAAGACATATTAAGTAAATCTGTTACAATATACAGAATATTTTGGTTTATAAATCCATCATGAATAAGTTACTTGCCAGTACACGTATAAAAAGATGAGGCTATAAATGCAGGTACATTCACAACACAGAGAACAGACTTAACTATGACTGGATGGAAAAACTATCAGTCAGACTAAATGACTGCAGTGTCTGAGACTTCAGAAGAAATTAGTATTAGTAGTTGTGGAAAGTTGGATAGAGATAGCACAGCCAATCTTCTGTTTGAAGCAACATATATTATGTAAGGAGAATGCTGTATGCCACTTTTAGAGTTATGCAACTGAAGCAGTCTACAAATCCTTAAAAAATACATTAGAAGTACACCAGAATGTCCAGAAGCATGGGTGAAGGATATAGTTATACTAAAGCATCACATGAAAAACATGTTTATACTGGTCATTATGCATGTTTTCAGCAAATTCAGTACTTTATATACAATGCACTTACAAGATCCCTGTTTACAAGTAGAATCACTCAACAATTCTACTCATTTATAGCTTATTCTTTCTATCTCATGACTCATTTATCTCCGCCTATTCCCTTGCAAAGCCTAAACTTCTCACCTCTACTCCTTTCTACTTTCATGTTATATTCTCATCCCATATTTTAAAAAATCTCATTTTACTCAGCATAACTGACTTCTACAATTAAAATGTGAAGCGAAATATGAATTTTAGTTATATGATTGAAAAATTGTCCTTACACACAATCAAACTGGAGAATTTACATGGTGCATATACTGAGGCCTAGGCATAACTCCAGACTAGGTACCTATGAAATGTTGGGGTATCTTGATTTTTTTATTAATACATATGCTAGGAACTTAGCAGTGGAATAATCTGCTGTCAAAGTATAAGCAGTTTCCAGCAATTTTAATGGTAGCTAACTAGAGCGTATGGAATCTGTATTCCAAAATGTCTGAAGGCAATCAAATTGCCAACTTTTGTGATTAAGCCCAATGAGAATATTACTACAAGAAATATGAGGAAAGGATTGTTCCATGGGTCTAGGACCGTGATGGCGAACCTATGGCACGCATGCCAGAGGTGGCACGCAGAGCCAACTCTGTGGATACGCACGCTGTCACCAGCTGCTCTTCTCGTTTCCGGTATGCACATGCGTGCCGGCCAGCTGATCTTCGCATGTGCCAGAGCCCCGGAAACCCAAAGTCTAACTGGCCGGTGTGCATGCACACACCGAAAAACCAGAAGACCTGGTGGCGATGGTGCGTGTGCCCACAGAGAGGGCTGGTCTTCGAGTTTCCGGGGCTCTGGCGCGCGCATACGCGTTCCAGTTTGGGCACTTGGTGCCGAAAAGGTTTGCCATCACTGGTCTAGGATAACTCACTGTGGCTAGCTCACTACTGCCAGCTCACTACCGCCAAAATGCCTGTACCAACTCACAGGTGCCAAGTTGCCACAGGACAAATCCACCTGGCCAACTCATTCCATAGGTGGCCGGAAAGAGAGCCAAGGGGTGGGCAAGCAAGAGGGTGGGCAGAGTGCAGAGTGCGTCGGGGAGGGCTGCCTGGGGCTTCCCATTTTCACACCTCCCACTGCTGTTGCCACGCCACCAGCAGCTCTGAGCCTGGCATGGATCGGCACCTGGATCAGCAGCATCAGAGGCAGCTTCAAGCCCGGAGCAGATCGGCATCTGCACTGGGCTCGGAGGCCAGCGTGGCAGCAGCGGTACAGGTATGTGAAAATGTCGAGCTGATTTAAGGAAAAGAAATGTAGCAAACCAAATAATGCACAAAAGCACCATAATCCTTGGAAACAGCACAGGCTTCCTTTGTTCAAAAATGGAGGAAAGCAAAGAATTAATTGTATAGCAACCTAGAACACTGTAATTTTCTAGGGTAATGAATGCAGTAATACAAAGACTGTGCAAATTTAAGAACAACAGTAGATTTAGAGCCTACCATCACTAGAAGAATTCTACTTTCTATAACAGATAGCTTTTTGGCTGCATAATGCTATCTATCATTCAGCTTCATGAAACAACAGGAGATTGCAACCACCCCTCCCTAGTTCCTGAGAAAGAATAGCATTCTTAATATAGCCACATTCATGTTTGCATTTTGTCATAATTTTATGAAAGGTTGAGATGCTCTTAAGTGCCCTTATCATAACACAAAATATCACAGTCACAAAAATTAATGCATTTGTCTGGGAGCATTAAATTATATGTAGAATAGTCAAAAGCCAAAATACTTCAAACATATGACATATATTTTAAAAGTAATAAGATAAATACTCCACTAATCATTCCCATAGAATCTATAGAGATATGCATAAAATAATGTTTTTTTTTCTATGTTAGCTCTATGATCTATCACATTGTGGTTAGGAAGTTTGGCGGGAATATTCTGGGCACTTTCTCCACATTGTTGTGTCCCTGCACATCTCCCAATATTCCTGTATCTTCCTTCTATCCCTTAGCTTCCTTTTGCCAGACATATTTCCTCCATCAATGACTTTCCCTTTTTTCCTACTCTTCCCACCTTGGAACACCTGTGCCCAGATCATGTATGTTTTGGGTCTCAGTCCAGATAAAACATGTATATTACATGTTAGGTCAGAGTCCAGAGCATAGCGGCTGGAGAATTCTGGGAGTTGAAGTCCACAAGTCTTAAAGCTGTCAAGTTTGGAGATCCCTGTGTTAGACAAAACTGTCCAAAGCTGCCTGTTCCATGCTGGTGACAGTTTCACCTATTTTGCCAATTCCCGCAAATCTTAAACTAACATAATGTTTATAGGAACATGTTATCAAGACTTTGACTATAAAATGCTTTGAGCTGATGTAATGATAATTGATGTATACTTTTTTAAAGCCTTACCAAAATTAAGTTTAATTATAGAGGAAACTGAGTTGACTGTTGAAAACATGTAAAGTAAATTTCCAACTGAAAAGGCAGGTAAAAATGTGTTACAATGATAACATGTACCAACAATGTTCTATCTCAATTAAAGATCTGTGAGATGTTTCTTTCTGGATGCTGAGCAAAATCCAATTTGGTAGTGTTCATACTCATACATATCATGGGCTGTGACTCAACGCACCCCTCTGGCTTCTTTGCCCTTTTCTCCATTCCTCAAATCTCCCCCCGAGGTTGGGGCATCCCTCTGGAATAGACTTTTGAAGATGAGCACATGGTTTCAGGAAGGAGTGAAGTTGCCTTTCTGCTAAACTGATCAAAGTCAATCTGTCAGCAGAAAGGATTAATCAGGAATAACTCATAGAAGCAACTCTGTGCTCCTAGCAACTGAGTTACTGAGTCTATTCATACTAAGAGCAATTCAAAATGGATGTTATTATTATATTGTCCTTCCCAATTTAGTTAGATTAGAATGCTCCAACATTTCCGACCTATCAAAAAGGTGAACTTCACTGCTAAATAATTTGTTTCAGTCATTCCCCGGAGAGTGATGCATATGTAATAATATTATCTAAGTGCATGCCAGCAAAGACATTTGGGTTTTTGTTATTGTCATTTAATGACAACTCAGAGCCAGACGAAGTGCAGGTATTGTTCTAGATACATTTATATATCACTTCATAGTATTTTCTGGAATTAAACAGATATTTAATATAATATTTAAAGAAACAAATTTGGAGAAGCATCACATGTATTTTTATTTACTTTTCTTACAGGTACAAAATCCCACAACTATAATTAGAACAAAACAGCAAAAGGCCAAAGGCATAGTGATCTTTCTATATCTAGGAAAAAAGGAGTAACTCTAGCCTAGAAGGCAGATGGGGTATTTCTATTTCAAAGGATGTCCCTCAGTACAAATGTAAGAATAAAAAAAAAATCTGGCAGTTACCCTTTTGACTTGCAAGTGACAATTTCTGCTGCTGTAAGCTATATCAGTTTCCAGTGCATAGATTACAGGACTTGGTACTGTCCTTCAACCCCTGTAGTATTAAACCAGGACATAAAGTCCAAAGTTTCAGTTATCTCACTTTGTGAGAAAAGAAAATGATTCAGCATTAAAATAATGGTTTAAATAAATGTAGTCCTTCAGAACTAAAAAATCAAGTAAGAGTTTTGTAATCTCCATATTTTCTATCAAAACACGATTTTCTCCCCTACAGGAGTAGTAAAGTTGAAATTGACATTATCTAAAAGAAGACATACCTTGTCATTGTCTCGCAAGGCCATCTGAGAATTGGGATGTCCTCTGTGATGCAGACCTCCTTGTCTGTCTTCAATTGAAAGAAATGGATCTCGCCCAAAAGGTTCAGAAAATAAATGTCGTACATGTTCATTATGGGAAGTAAATGTATCCCTGAAAATAAAATAGGATAGCTAAAGAATATCTATCTCTGCATCAGAGAACATGCAAAGTTCTCAAACACAACATATAACAAAAGCCACTATTTACAGAGAGTTTACATAGTTTTCACTGATCACATTGTTTTTCAGAATTAACTAGTGCATTTTATATTATGATACCCAAGAAAGATTAAAAGACAGAACATTTAAAACAAGTAAAACAGTAAAACAGGGAGTGTGCATGATCTGAGTATCCACTGTAGTAAGTTCATTCAATCAATCAATCAATCAATCAAAAAGACAGAAGATTTGACTTATTCTCAAAGTCAACAGAATGAAAGGTATAACTGAGTATTTTTTCCTTGCAATATACTAATACCATACAAGTTACACCAGTGTATTCCAATAAGTTACTTAAATATAATGGAAGTGCAGAACTTTGTTTTCACTGGTGGCCCTTATACATATATTAGAAAACTGTCATTTTGCTATGCTAGTTTTATATTATAATGTTTTCTATAAAAAATTTATTAGAACATTGACTACTGTCCCAGTAGTGAACTATACAAAAATAGTTTCACAGGGCAGGCTTTTGCAGAAGGGAAATTGCTTCTGCACCTGTCTACACTATTCAGGAAAAAAGTTGGCAGGACCAGAAAACAGTCTGAGATCTAGTAAAGCTTCACAGAAACAGCTGTGCAATCAAGAAGACATTTATAAAACCAATTTTATCCTAGACCAGTGATGGCTAACCTTTTTGCTATCATGTGTCAAAAGCGGGGGGAGTGCAGTGGGGTTGCGCGCGCGTGTGCCTACATCCATAATTCAACGCGCCCGCCCATGTATGTGCGACCTCCCCCGCGCTCCCCCTGCTATTGGCACACAATGGCATGGTGGGACCGTAAGGCCCGTTTTTTCATTCTTCCCAGGCTCCAGAGCCTTTCTAGGAGCCTGGGGAGGGTGAAAACGGCCTTCCCCAGCCCCCCCCCGGAGATCCTCCTGAGACCGGAAATGACTCATTTCCCAACTTCCAGTGGGACTGGAAGGCCCATTTTTCATTCTCCCCAGGCTCCAGAGCCTTTCTAGGAGCCTGGGGAGGGCAAAAATGGCCTTCCTCACCCCCTCAGAGGCCAGAAACTGCCCGTTTTCCAACGTCCGGTGGGCCTGGAAGGCTGGAAAATCAGATGGCTGGCACACGCATGCGCGCTGGAGCTGAGCTAGGGCAACGGCTTGCGTGCCCGGAGATATGGCTTTGCGTGCCACCTGTGGCACACGTGCCATAGGTTCGCCATCACGGTCCTAGACAGTATTTCTGGTCTGTCAATTCCAATCCTCTCCTTCTGAGGCAAAGGAAGCTTTTATACTAGTTTACTATTTTAGAAGTTATTCCCACAGTGAAGTAGTGCTAGCAATTTGCATGATCTACAGAATGCAAAATATTACTTCTCAAAAATGAGAATTAGTACTATATTTATATTATACTAAGCAAGAAAACGGACAGTTTATGACTAATGTCATTCAAACTCCACGATATTTTATTCATTTTTTAAAAAATATACCCATACTACCTATTATAACAATATCTAAATCTTGATTACATTTAACAAAATTTCCAGCATATTCATTTATAGGAATGTAAACACCTGCTTTGCTTCTCCATGCCATGCTTATATTTTTGCCAAACTGCTCAAGGGAGTGCTTGCTATGCATTTTTAAACACAAAGTAAATAAGGAGAAGAATGGGGTGATAATTATACTACAAGGAAACCAGATGTAGTATAATGAGTGGTTTAGAACTTCGGGGACACAATCCAGAAGGGCTACTGTAGTGTGGTAGAGGTAATAAACCCTATCAAACAAAATGGAGGTTGTATCCTTTTCCTCCCTGTTCTTTAGATGTGATCAGGGTCAAACTCGGTTTATTGCTGCCTAATCCCATCAGACTCTACCCCCAGATAAACATCCCTGAACCAAAGACCAGAAGCCTCCTTACCAATTCACAGGGTAGCACATATAAGGGAATTGCAACATAAAGAAACCCCAATGTTTTATTCCCAACCAGTTTCATCCTTAAGATTTCACCTTCTTTTACAAGAGATGCTGCTCTTCTGAAAGTTCATTTTATTTAACAATTGGACTCATCCCAAGTATATCGTCAATGACCTGCCTTGTTTGCCCAAACTGAATAGCAAATCAGATTCCTAGGATTTCAAACCTCAAACTTTTATGAAAACCTTTGCTTCTTCATTGTTTGGGGTCCCTATTTCTTTTAAAGGAGGCACACAATGATAGTTCCAGTAAGAATGGTGGTTCTTCTCAGCGTTGTTGTGCTCCTTATTCACAATGAATCCACAATAGTAGGCTTAATTCAATATTGTGTATATATTGTATACACAATTTATTGTGTATACCACACCACAATGTATTGTGGTGTAGGGGTTCCTGCCTGGGCAGGGGGTTGGACTAGAAGACCTCCAAGGTCCCTTCCAACTCTTTTGTTCTGTTCTGTTCTGTTCTGTTCTGTTCTGTTCTGTTCTGTTCTGTTCTGTTCTATTCTATTCTATTCTATTCTATTCTATTCTATTCTATTCTATTCTATTCCATTCCATTCCATTCCATTCCATCCATTTGTCCAGTGGAATTTCCCTCTCTTCTCCTTTATACATTTTCCATGCCTCTTGGAACTAAGTTTAGTGGCTTCTCCAACTTTTAGAGCAGAGCTTTAAGGAGCATGGACAACAGCAAGAATTACAGGAAATTGTCCTCCTTTTCAATATCACTTGCAAAAGTGATTTAATCAGCACAATGGATTAACCCAACAACCTACATTCCTTTAATATGGAGTCACAGGTGCCTTTGCTCATTTTCAGTCTACTAATCTTTTTAAAGAAAAAACCAAGTTATTTTCTGACTTCTACATGTTGACTAAACAAAATTTTGTTTTAAAAGGAAGACTAAATGCCAAGGAAACAGCCTGTCTGAGCATGCAAGTCTCTGGATTGATGCCACTGATTTTATTACATTAGAAGTTGGCAACAAAACTGACATAAAGTCTTAACACCCTGTCAGAGCCACCAAAACAGCTGCTGACATTGAGTAAAACTGTCCTCTGATTTCAAAAGTTGTATAACTACTGTGTAATTGTAGCTTACATATAATCTGTAACTAACGTACAATTGTACCTTAAGCAGAGAAATTACAGTACTGCAAAATTAATAGCCAAACATACTGCTCCTAGGAAGAAGTTAGAAATGAGTCAGATTAACATACAAGCCTGATTTGGATAAAAATATTGAATTAATCCACAAAATTTAATATGTGTGTGTGCGTGCGTGCGTGCGTATGTGTGTGCATGTATGTATGTGTTATTTCTTTAACTGTTGTGTAACTGCTGTTACACAACAACCGAATTAATCGTAACTTTTGGCATCTTACAAAAGAACAATAAAATATACAATGGTACAAAACCTTAAAAAGGCTGGAGAAACTAGTCAAACTAAACCAAACCACTTAAAGTCAGCATCTACTCTAATCCAAGGCCTGGGGGAATAGCTGGTCTTGAGGGCATGTTGAATAAGGTTGGGGAGAGGCTAATAAGAATTTCAGGGAAATGTTGTTCCAAAAAGAGGTATTAGGGCGAGAAGCCCCAATTCTTGAGTTCCACAAATGACACTGATCAATGGGATTTAGAGCAGAACAACTGCAGGACACTACAGTGGACAGGCAGTTTCTCAAATAACTAGAAACTATTTTCTGACTGAGTACTCAAATGCTAAATCAAAAATGGCATCTGAAAATTATCTTTGGCTAAAGCAGGTCATACAGATAAAAAGTTTGATCACCATACAATTCCAAGTATGGTAAAAGTCTTCAGGTCTGTTTATAAATATCCAATTTAAGAATATTTGTAAACAATTAGTAAGCCATACTCAGAAATACGACAATGGATTTTCATTGATGCTATGATTTGTTGTGAAAACAAAAAGCTTACATGAACATAAATTATTGGCATCTAGTTTTAAACAGATTTAAATGCAGTTTAGATGTTAAAATATTATTTTTACAACATGATACTAAACAAAGCCTCATTAAAGTTTCTAATGGGATTCAGACTTACAGTAGGTCTATATATAGTGAGCATTTAGCAGAAGATAACATTGCAGAGGTTCAGAAACACTCACAATGGCTAACTCTCTAATAAGAGTCAGTGATTATTGTTACAGAATAAAAATTTAAACTCTGAGCTAAAACAGACCTTTAAAAACAGATTATTCAACATACATGAAAAAGCAGCAAAAATTTTGAGAATTCCAAATACTTTTAGCAAAATTAATGTAATGTTTTATTAAAAGCAGTTGTTTTAAAGTATAACAAAAACCTTGCCTCTTTTTTTACACAACATATAAGAATTCAGTTTTATCTTTGAATTTTCAGAATGTATTAATCAAAATCTAAGCCATAAGGAGTTTTTCTTAAAACAACTGTTTATATCAGTATTTGTCTATCAATTTTCTCAAACAGCTTTAATATGAATGAAACCAAAATCTTGAAAGAAAATGTAAGCATAAAAATGCCATTTTCACCTTCAGAACCCCTACAATGAGCACCTTTTATTTTGGTGGTGTTTCAGAACATTGCTCACCAAAATATAAGCTGGAAACCTAAACACGAGAGTAAAACATCTGCAAGGGAACTCCAACATGCTGCAGCAAGAGCAGCTTTCTCTCATTCCATAGAAGGTCAATGGCAGTTTCATAATGCTGGGAACGTTGCAGAAGAGCAAACCAAGTTACATTCTAGACACAATTATATGTAAATAAGCACTACGTACCTCAGAGACGCTTACTTCAAAGCAGACATGAAGAGGCCTCTAAAAAGTTAGTAGACTCTTCATTGCCTAAAGCCCTTTCTGACTTACACCAAAGGTGCAAAATGTATGGTTTGCATTTGGCCTACCGTCATTCAAATTGCAGCCTCATGGGATCCTGAGGAATTTGGCCTCGAGTTTTGCTTCCCTTAGGAGGGTCAGCAGCTGGATTTTAAGACTCAAAATGTCTACCCTAAACATAGGGGCTTCAAATGCCCATTTCAGCCTATGTAAATTCCAGCATCCTTCAGGACAGAACGAAAATGTCTGTGGAGATTCTTAGTCATTCAGGTCATAGTTGTCTCAAAGGTGTTTTTTCAAAAGGCAACTAGACAGTTTTTTTTTTTTTTTCCTTGAGGAAGAAGAACGTTTTGCTTCTCATCCAAAGAAGCTTCGTCCGTTCCGATGGTTGGGAAAGAGAGCAAAAACCACTTTGAATTCTAATCCTCTCCATTTTGGGAGTTGGCCTGTGGACCGAGGGGAAGAGTCTGCCTTTCGCTAGTATACCTTTATCTGCAAGCACATGCACAAATACATACATAGGCATGCACTCTGAAGCCCAAAAAGTCACCAAGTGAAGGAAAGGCCCACCAAGTAAAAAAAAAAAAAAGGGGGGGGGGGGGCGCGGCAGGTTGCACCTCCAACATTTAAAAGAAGGGAGACTAGGGGTGACATGATAGCTGTATTCCAGGATTTGAGAGACTGCCACAAAGAAGGGGGGGTGAAATTATTCTCCAAAGCACCAGAAGGCAAGGCAAGAAACTATGGATGGAAACTAATCAAGGAGAGAAGCAACCTGGAATTAAGGAGAAATTTCCTAACAGTGAGGACAATTAACCAGTGGAACAGTTTGCTTTCAGAAGTTGTGGGTGCTCCATCACTGGAGGCTTTTAAGAAGAGACTGGACAGCAGCCACTTGTCAGAAATGGTATAGGGCAGTGTTTCTCAACCTTGGTAGCTTGAAGGTGGGTGGACTTCAACTCCCAGAATCCCCCAGCCAGCGCTGCTGGTTGGGGGATTCTGGGAGTTGAAGTCCACCCATCTTCAAGCTACCAAGATTGAGAAACACTGGTATAGGGTCTCCTGCTCGAGCAAGGGGGCTGGACTAGAAGACCTCCAAGATCCCTTCCAGCTCTATTCTATTTTATTCTGATCCTGCTAGCATGAGCATGCAGGCATAGGAGTATTATCTTTGGGGGAGGGGGGGACTGGAGATGGGGGCATCAGGGGCAAAGCGGCTGCATCTCCGCCGGCGCAGTGAGCAAGGCGGTGCCTCCTCTTCCTCCACGGCCCCCTTGGAAGCCCATCCTCCGCACTGCCGTGTATCCAGGTTCCCGGATACACATATGTCGATGCGGCCGGCTCTCGAAAAGCCACGAAGGCAGGCGCGGTCGCTTTCGGAGGGGCCGCCAGCCTCTTCGTCCACCCAGCGGCTGCCCCTCCGCTGAAACCCGGGCGGCTTCATTCAAGGGAAATTATCCGCCGCTCACCTTCCGCGGCCCCCGTTTAGCCCCAAATGCAGCTCAACCCGGGCCCCGCCCGCTCACCGAAAGAAGGGATCGTCTTCGAAGACCCTGGAGAGCCCGAACATGATTTCTGCTCCGGAGATGCCTCTGTCCTCCTCCTGCTCTTTCCGCCTTCAGCGCCGTTTGAACGCCTGATCTTTCCGTTGGGGCCGCCCGACGACCGGCTCTAGAAACGAACCTCCTGCCCGCTCTCGCCCCGCCCCTTTCTCCATGGAATCCCCGCCCTTCCTTTCGCCATTGGCTCCGGCGAGCACGCAGTATGGCGACGGACGATAATAGAACAGAGCTGCTGCTACCATGGCAACTGGCTCCAAGGCAATAACTCCGGCTTGGATGAGCTTTTTGGCAAAAGGGGAGGTCGGCTTGCGCGGGGCCTCTTTGCCGCGTTGCTTCCGATACTGGTGGTCTCCCTTTATTAGTCCTTATTTTATTTTATTTTATCCTTTATTTCCCGCTCGAAAAATAGCCATACTGCACAATCTCTAAAAGAAAGACACCACAATTGCCAGAATTGCTAGAAAACCATCAGGCGCGTTAGAAACAGCCAACGCGCCATGAAACGCATTGAAGTCATTGAGGCGCTCATGTCTCTCTGGAAAATCAGGAAACGTTTTAATTTGATTTTGATATTTGACGAGCTCTGTTTAAGACTACGATTAAGTTACTAAACTGCAGTGAATATAAATACAGTGATTTGGGGCACTGTATTCGGCTGTGTGCTGTAGAGTCCGTTGTAACGATTATAGTGCTGACATCCTGGAATAAAAATGTAAAAATCGAGACAAATTCATGTCTGGAATCCATGTTTTAGCAGTAGGTTCTGTGATTTGATAGTTGTGTCAGGGGGATCCCACCTAGAAATCTAGATCTGTTTGTATTTTTATTCAAGGGATTTCTGTATCGCTTTTCTCTCTCCAATTTACAGCACTCAAACGCAATTTTCAGGTGTTTAAAATCAATGGTGAAAACAAAACATACGTAATATATAATATTGGTAACAAAAACCTTGTCCAGAAAATTTGAACTTGTCAACATGACCCAACAGAAGAAAAAGTAAAGTTTATTCACTCTGATTTTTGTTGCTATTGTTTTTAACCCTGAGTTTTAATAAATTATATCAGTGAAAGTTGTTTCAATGTCCAATTTAAATTTGTTTGATAACTTATAAGTTAAATTTTGACAATGTGTTGATAAACCACTTTGGCAGTTTAATACTCTGAAGTACAATCAAAATCTATTTCCTAATATTCTTCTCCATCAGACATTTTTGTCTAAAGTACTCTTATTATGCTGTTAATAAACAGAAAAAAAAAACAATTATCTCCCCTTCTTTACAGAAAATCTGTTCCAATTTCTGAATGCTAACTGCTCTTTCCCATTTTTCTCCTGCCTTGTATCACTTAAAAAAAAAAAATCTAAGCATAGCTACATAATTGAAACAATATGTATTTACTTCAAAAAGATTGGACAATTGTGTCTAAGAGAAAGGCCAGGTTCCTACCCGCTTCATATCCTAGGTGGCAGCCCTCTTTAATTGCTTCATATTATTTTCAGTGGAACAAAATGTTTAATAGTATACTAAAGGTTATATTTTTGGACAATATGGCAGTAGAATGAAATTTGTTGGAAAAGAGAACTAGTTCTGATTATCAGTTTTCTATTTATTCTCGGATTTTGTAACTAAGACATGTTACACAATTCCCCTTCCCCTTAACCTGGAGAAAGTTAAATATTGAGTTCCCATACTAGCAGCAGAAACATGATCTGATTCATTAGATGAACTCAGCTATTCTGCTATAAATGACATCATGATAAAGGACTGTCCATTCTTAGGGCATAGCTGATGCAGGCATTTTTTGACCTTCCCGAACAGATCCTTTTTATTAAAGCAGATCTGAATTTACAAACTGGCCATCGTGCAAAAGACACACATTAAATAAATTGAAATACAAGCATGCAATCAAGTTCTGCAAAACAAGTATGTTTAAATTCTATACTTCAGAAATTTAATTGTGATTGATATGTTTATTCTACTGGTATCTGTGTTAGTTTTAGGCATGCCATGTCTGGGCTACAAAATACTAAAGGATTACTGCAAAACAGCAAATAGTTACAGTTTTCTGTCTTATTCTGGCCATCTGGTGGCCCTCTGGAATTTTGCAGATCAGATTTTATATATCTTGGTTTACTGTGATTTCTTTGTTCCACCATGCAGTGATCTGATTGGGTTTTAGTCATGCTCAGAGCAGACTTCTTAAAAGCAATCAGTCTATTCTATCTGAATAAACTCTATTGTGAACTTACTTACAGAATCACATTTTGGGCACTTGGCAACTGTTTATGGACCTTTGCAGCATTCCATGGTCATGTGACCACAATTCATCACATTTTTTGCTAGAAACCAGAGCTTATTTCCAGTTTCTGACAAAAATGCCCATTGCAGGTTGCTGCATTCACTTTATGACTACCATGTTCATTTTATGACCACCACAAAAAAGTTTGTAAAATTGGGCATAGTCACATGGTGACCTGTTTAACAACTGCCACAACTTATGACTATGATCCCCAGGGTCAATTATGGTTGTAAGTCAAAATATGTTTAGATATCCAATTCTGTTTTAAAAATAAGTGATAATTAATGAAAGATATCACTGTGTGAGGGGTGGGATGGCATAGAGGTTAAGATGCTGGGCTTGTTGATCGGAAGGTAGGCAGTTTGAGACCCAAGCACTGCCCGATGGGGTGAGATCCTGTTCCTGCCCCAGCTTCTGCCAACCTAACAGTTCAAAAGCATGCAAATGCACTAGATAAATAGGTACCACTTCAGTGGGAAGGTAACAGAATTCCACATGGCTTGGTATACAATCATGCTGGCCACATGACCACGGAAGTGTCTTTGGACAATGCTGGCTCCCTCAGCTAAGAAACTGAGATGAGCACTGCCCCCTACAGTCAGACACAACCTTTTATTTATTAATATGTGGTTATTCACTAGATAGTCTCTATTTTATTACAAGTCACTGTTTCATCACTTGTTCAAACACTTGAACGTTGCCTGAAGATCAGTGGTGTGTAGCAGATCCTGGGGATCACATATATGAATGGATTGTATTTTTAAAATAAATGAATATGAAAAGAATTGTTTCTCTTTTGTTTGGGGGCTGGAGATGGTGACATACCAGACGTTTTCCAAATATTTGACATGCCAAGTCCAAAATACTTACCATTCCTGGTTTAAAGCCTATAAATCAGCTCTTAGTATGTTTCAAATCTGGACATATTCCTTAGGTTCATATATGTTTACTTGTAGTTTATTCCACACAATTAGGTCAATTGGAAACGTAAACAGAAGAGTTGGCCAAGATTGGTGCAATAACATCATTGTTCAAATACTTCTGAACGCCATTAGCAACAACAGGCTCTAAAGGCATTTGTGGGAAAGAAGATTATGTATTCAAGCAGAGAAATTTGGGTGTGTGTGTGTCTGTTATTTTATTGATTTTAATGATGGTGTTAGAAAATCATGGATGCAAGAAATGGATCTCTAGAATCAGAATGCTAATTCTAATCAGAATAAGGAGAGAAACAGAATTTTGTTCAGGAGTCCAGAAAATAATAGAAGAGATGAGAGAGTGTCCTGGACAGCAAGAAGAACAAATAATTCAGTACTACATGAACAAAAAGCAAACTACTCATTAGAACCAATAATAATAAGATTACAATTTATATATTTTGAATAACAATGTGAGGGCAACACTCATTAGAGGAAACCCTGATGCTTGGAAAAAGAGAAAGCAGTTTTTAAAAAAACCAATAGAAGACAAGGTAGCAGCACACAGTATTATCATTGATGACATAAGCCAAAACAGGAGAATTCAAAGAAGCAGTTACTTGAAGGGCAATCACGAGAAAATTATGTCGGTGCGGTCATAAAGAATTGAAAACAATTGGACCAATGAGTAAGAACAAGCCAAAAGATTAAACAGAGAAAAGAACAAAAGTAACAAAAGAACAAAGAAAGGATACTTGATCTCTGCAACTGAATTATCTAGATCAGTGTGTCTCAACTTTGGCAGCTTGAAGATGTGTGGGCTGGGGAATTCTGGAAGCTGAAGTCCATACATCTTCAAGCTTCCAATGTTGAGAAACACTGATTTAGATTAAGCTTCCAAACAGCTAACAATGAGAGCAGAACTCAATTGGTGGATGCCACATAATTTTGCAAATAAGACAGTGACATCCAAGCCTTTTTTATTTTGTATAAAAGAGCCCATGAAGATTTTGTAATAATTAAATAAGAGTACAAAACATGTAGCCTATCTATGAAAAGAAAAGACATCTTTAGAAAAGCAAATTCCAATGAAAGAAACCTTTGGAACATCAACATTCTTCAAAACTGTGAAATTCTTCCCGACATTTGTATGAATCTGCCTGCAACTGAGAACATAGAGAGTTAGCAGTTCAGCTCCTGTAAAAGAGAGCAGCAAAATAGATTGTTCCATGTAAGAAAAGGGTTACCAGAAATAGCATGGACCTTTCCACATGTCCTGTGCGGCAGGATAATAAATTTTCATAAAATAGTTCGTAAAATAGACATTCCTTTATGCTATTTTCTAAATAGTACATGTCAACTATCCATCCATGTCAACCATCCTTTAAATTGAGTTGAGGAGGGGAGGAGGTTCAAAAATGGCTTTTGAGATAATAGTAATATTTTCTTACTTATTATTACTTATAAATAGTAATACTTTTCTTTGGAAAAATATTAGAATTAAATTAAACTTTAATTAGAATTAAACTTATGAAGCTTCTCATGGCATTATTTACAGTAATCTTTTAATTAATTATCCTTCATCCCCTCTTGAAACAAACAAATTAGTTCAGTTTGAGAGATATGCTGCCTCCAGTTGGTTTCATGAAATATTTGCTACTGCCAAGTTATATTATATCCATAGTCCCTTACACTGAGTTACTTGAATAAATATTGAATGGAAGGTTCATTTGTATTTAATACCTGGAGACTGAGAGTAAATCAGAGGAGAACAAACAGGTAGAACAAACAGGCTTCACTTGGATGTTTACTATAAACATACTTCTCTCTGTAGAACTTGAGGCCTTTGGTTTACTATGGGAGTGATTATTTACTGACTAGATAAATACTGTAGATATTTACTCCATGCACCTTTCCCTT